TCCCTGCATCCGGGAAAGCTCCAGGCTCACCCAGCTGGTCTTGGAGGGTTCCTCAGGTCACCTTTGCAGCAAGAGCTTAGCTCAAGCTCAGTGCCTCACTCGTTAGCCGCGTGGTGCTAATTATCAGCCCTGCCTCCCCCGTGCCAGGTGTGTGAGAAGCCCCTGATGTACCTGGTGGACACCCCTGGCGTGCTGCCCCCCCGGCTGGGGGATGTGGAGACGGGCATGAAGCTGGCACTGTGTGGTGAGCCAGAGGCTGGGGTCGCGCTGCTGCTCACAACCCCTGCGTGTGAGGGGCTGGAAGAGGGTTGGCCAAGGCTCAGCAGGGCTTAGGGAAGCTGGGGCTTGACCCTCTTTTCCAGGAGCCATCCATGACCACCTGGTGGGGGAGGACATCATGGCCGACTACCTCCTGTACACCCTGAACAAGCAGCAGCAGTTCAGGTGAGGGAAGCGGGGAGGGGTCCCAAGAGGGTGATGGAGATGCCATGCCCAGGGAGTTGTGGGGGTGTGAGCCATGTCCTCTGGCAGGTACGTGCAGCGCTACGGGCTGGGCCAGCCCTGCGACCACATCGAGCCCCTGCTCAAGCACGTGGCCCTCAGCCAGGGCCGCACGCAGAAGGTGAAGGTGCTCACAGGCACAGGTGGGTGATCCGGGGTGCAGGGCTGGGAGTTTTGGGGATCCCAGGGCAGCTCCAGGCTGCGCTGACACTCCTCTATCCACTGCCACCTCCAGGGAATGTCAACATGATGATGCTCAACTACCCAGCTGCTGCCTACGAGTTCCTGCGGGACTTCCGAGCAGGACGCCTGGGCAGGGTGACACTGGACTGAGACCTGTCACTGGACAGGCACTGCCGGCAGCCGGGGGGACTGGGGACACCCTGGTGCCCCTTGGAGCTGGGGACACCCAAACAGGGAGCTATGGGGTGTGATTGAAGTAGCTCTGCCAGAGCTGTCCCCGGATTTGAGCAAGAGGCCGGAGGGACCGATGCCCTGTGGTGTCGCTGTTGCGATGCTCCAGTGGAGAGCTGTGCCCGCCCCGGAGAGCCTGGGGCAGGGCTGGTGCCTCCGGCTGGCACCTGGAAGCCGCCAGGGAGCTGCTTCCTCGCCAGGGAGCTGTTTCCTCGCTGGGTTTGGCCTGCTGTGGAGCTTCCATCCCGAAATAAAGCCTGTGTGGGCAGGGGCCGGGCGCTGGCCATCCCAGGGTCCCGCCCCTCGCCCCGCATCCAGCCACACCTTCTTTCGCCCAATTTTATTGCCGCCTCCTCGGCCTCCGGACACGGCGAGGCCACGGACAGGGGCGCGGTGCGCAGGGGTGCCCGAGCCGGCGGGGTTCGCCTCGGTGTGGAGGGGTGGTGATGGAGGGTCTTCCGCGGGGGTCCTGCCCCGCCGGCGGTGGGTGGCCATAGCCCCGGGAGCCGCTGCTCGCCCGGGGCATGGGGCTCAGCCCCGTGGGGGGCGGCCGGTCCTCACGGCGTCGTGGGTGCACCGGGCACAGTCAGGTCCCCCGAAATCCATCAGCGGCGGAGGAAGGCGGCCAGCGGGCAGAGCCAGGGCAGCGCCCGGCTCGGCGAGGTCCCGGCCGGCGCGGCGGAGGTCCAGGCGCTGGCGGCCGCCGTCCAGTTGCCGTCGCGGTACTCGACGCCGTCTCCCGCTTGCAGCTCTCCAGACAGCCGGGCCCGGCGCAGAGCCGCCCCCGCAGCCACGCCGGCGCCGCCCCGCGGGCGCCGCCGCGCCCACCCTTGCCGGCCACCGTGTCGCAGAAGGTGGCGGCCAGCAGCACCAGCGCCCAGCACGCCGCCGCGCTCCGCCGCATCCCGCACCTGCCGCAGGGAGGGAGGGAGAGCCCCGCCGCTCAGCCGCGCCCGGCCGCGGGCGGGGGACCGCGCACCGCCGCGTCCCGCTTGCGCGTGTGCTGCGGCCGCGCACGCGTGTGTCACGGCACACGCAGCTCCCCGCGCGTTGCATAAACGCGCTGCCCCCACCCCTGTGGATGATGCTCCCGCACACGCACGCTCCCGCACGCCCCTGTGGATGATGCTCCCGCACACACTGGCACACGCGCGCCCCGCGGAACCCTGTGGGTGACGCTCCGCACAGCCGTGGGGATGATGCTCCCGCAAGCGCTCGCACCCACGCGTTTCACCGGCTTCGAACACACCCCGCCGCAGGGCACACTCACATGCCCTCCCTTCCCTCCCCGCCCACGGGGCTCACCGGACCCGGGGATGCCGCCGGCTCGTTCTGCTCCTCTCCACTCCTCCCTGGCCGCGCTCCCGCTGCCGCGCTCCCGCCTCGCCCCCCGCACTCCCCCCCACTTCCCGCGCGGGGGGCGGCGGGGGAATCCCCCCTCCTCACCCTTTCCCGCTCCCTTCCCGTTCCCTGCGGCGCCTCTAAACCCCGCACAGCCCGCCGCCCCGGCCCCCCCGCGCCCCGCGGGGCAGCGCGGCGGGACCCCCGCTCGGGACGGCGATCGGGCCCCGCGCCCCCTCCCACGGCCCGGGGGTCCCGGCCCCGCCCCGCGGCCCCGCCTCGGCCAATGGGAACGGCGCCTCGCGGGGCGGGGCCGGTTGCACCAATGGGGGGCGGCGGGAGGGGCGGGGCTCGCTCCGCGCTCCGCCATGGCCGCCCCGCTGCGAGCGCTTCTGCGGTCCGCCGCCGCCGCCGCCGCGCTCCCCCGAGCGCGCCTCCCGCCGCCGCTCCGCGCCCCCTGCGGCGCACGGGGCTGCAGCGCCGGTGAGCACCGGGGGGGCACCGCGGGGGGTTGGGCTTGGCGCAGCCCAGTGCTCAGCGCCGGGCAGCGGGTCCCTGCACCGGGCACGGTTGTAGCCCCGGACGGGCATGTGCCCATCGACCTGCTCGTGGTCCCTGGGCTGCGTACCAGGCCACGGCACCGGGCACCGTGTCCCTACTTCGTGTACGGTCCCGGCGCCGGGCACAGGGTCTATGGGCTGTGCACCAGGGCCACAGCACCGGGACCCAGCGCAGGTACGGTCCCAGCACCGGGCCTGTGCCCAGCGAGTTGCACGTGGTTCCGGAGCTGCGCTCCAGAGCCCATCACCGAGCCCCGGGGCCCTGCGCCATGTATGGGCAGCGGCGCTGCATACCAGGGCACCGGCACTGCGGCCCAGCACCGGCCACCGGGGCCGCTGGACTGGCACGGGGTGCGTGGAGCCCGCACACTGTCCCAGCACGGGGTGGTCACGGGGCTTCATCTTTGTGGGCTAGGGTGGCACTGGGAGCTCCTCCGAGCCCGTCCCGCCGGCTGCCGGTGACCGCTGGCATCAAGGTCGCCTTTAAATAGCATGGAGTGACAGTGGCCAGGCGTTGCCGAGGGTGGCCGGGGGTCCGCCCGGTGCCCGGCAGCCGGTGGGCTAACGGGGCAGTGCTGGTGTGGCGGGCAGGGGCTGCATTCCAGTACCTGCTGGTGCAGAAGACGGGGGCACAGAAGAATGTGGGGCTGATCCAGCTGAACCGGCCACAGGCGCTCAATGCGCTCTGCGAGGGACTCATGGCAGAGCTGCGGCGGGCGCTGGAGGCCATGGAGAGCGACCCGGAGGTGGGAGCCATCGTCCTCACCGGCAGCCAGAAAGCCTTCGCAGGTAGGATGGGGGCCTCTGCTCACCCCAAAGTTCTGGAGGGGATTGGCGTCCCACTGCACTTTCCTTTGCAGCTGGCGCAGACATCAAGGAGATGCAGAATAAAACCTTCCAGGAGTGCTACAGCAGTGGCTTCCTCGCCGGCTGGGACAAGGTCTCCGTTGTCCGCAAACCCATCATCGCCGCCGTCAATGGCTATGCCGTGAGTGTCCCCCACATCTCCCTGCGCTCCCTGCCCCCACCCTGGTACCCCCTGACCCATCTGTGCCTCCCCTGTGCCAGCTGGGAGGCGGGTGCGAGCTGGCCATGATGTGCGACATCATCTACGCCGGGGAGAAGGCGCAGTTTGGGCAACCCGAAATCCTGCTGGGAACCATCCCAGGTGAGCAGCAGGCACCTGCCAGGGGCTTCCATCCCAGCTGGGGTGGAGACACCCAGGTAACCCTCTCTAAACCTCTCCCTTCCCTAAATGCCCCAGGCGCCGGCGGGACACAGAGGCTGACTAGGGCAGTGGGGAAGTCGCTGGCAATGGAGATGGTGCTCACCGGTGACCGGATTTCAGCAAAGGAGGCAAAGGAGGCAGGTAGGGACGTGGGACAGCTCTGGCACTGCAGGGGTCTGGCTGGGAGCCATCCCCCCACTTCCCACTGTGCATCCTAGGTCTGGTCAGCAAGGTCTACCCTGTGGAGAAGCTGCTGGACGCAGCCATTGCCTGCGCTGAGAAGATCGCCAGCAACTCCAAGCTGGTGACTGCCATGGCAAAGGAATCAGTCAATGCTGGTAGGGGCTGGGGGCCAACTGGGAACCCTTGGAGGGGGGCTACAAGGCCAGGCAGAGGGGTCTCCCCAACTTCTCCCTTGCTTTCAGCCTTCGAAACAACGCTGACAGAGGGGAACAGGACAGAGAAGCGCCTCTTTTACGCCACCTTTGCCACCGTGAGTAGGGGGATCAGCCCCGTGGCATGAGGGATAACAGGGTGGCTGCAGCCCCCTCGAACCTCACTGTCACCTCACCTCTCTTCTTGTCCCAGAGTGACCGCAAGGAGGGGATGACAGCATTCGTGGAGAAGCGCAAGGCCAACTTCACTGACAGCTGAGCCCGGGAGCTGCAGGTCCCTGGGGTGGTGCAGGTCCCCAAGGCCTCCTGCAGCCCGTCCACCCCCGCCTTACCCCGCAGAGGGGACTGGGACCCGTCGGCGAGCCACGCTTGGGATGACAGCCAGCAGTGGGGACCACCTCTGCCTTCGCTATTAAAGGGTTTTCTAGGTGCTGCTGGGAGATGGGGCGTCCTTGCTGCGAGGTCCTGCCTTAGCTGGGAAATGCTGGGGTTCACTGAGCCCCCCCCACACTCCCCCACTGCTCTCTGATGCTGGGCTGGGCAAGAGCAGCCTCGTGGAGCATAGGTCTGGGCGTTCCCCAGGAAGGGGACAGCCTGTGGCACCTTCTGGGGCACAACCAATGTGCTGAGTTTGCCTCAGCCTCACCTGGGCTGAGTCTCCTGTCCCAGGGCATTGTCCTCACCCTGACTGGTGCCTTGGGGTAATCCTCAGGAAGTTCCTGCAGGTTTGGAGGCCCTTCAGTTAGCAACGGGTTTTGATAGTAATGAGGAGCCCACCAGGACATGGAGAGGGGATGGGTTTATTGGTGAGGCTTAAGGTTTGGTAGCAAGGGACAAATTTCCCCAGGAAACCCCAGGGACAGCTCCCACCCTTCATTTCACAGCCCGGCCATATCTCCACTCAACCGTGGTGGATGTAGTCAAGATCCTCCTCCGGGCCATTCTGCACCTTTGGGGCCAGCATCCAGAATGGCACAGGAAACCCCAGGGACAGCTCCCACCCTTCATTTCACAGCCCGGCCATATCTCCACTCAGCCGTGGTGGATGTAGTCAAGATCCTCCTCCGGGCCATTCTGCACCTCTGGGGCCAGCATCCAGAATGGCATACGGGCATTGACCTCCCTGGCATTATCCTGGGGGTGGTACAGGTGGTCACGATCCTCCTCCGGGCCATTCTGCACCTTCGGGACCGGCATCCAGAATGGCACACGGGCACTGGCCTCCCTGCCATCATCTTGGGGGCGGTACAGGTGGTCACGATCCTCTTCTGGCCTTGCTTGGACTTGGGGTGGGCCCCTCTGAGCCCAGGCACTGCTGGAGAAGACCTTTATTCCTGGTTCACCCTCCTCTGGTGCTCCTACGCCCAGGATGCTGCAAGAGGGGAACAAAATCATAGAGGAGAGGTTGCCAAATACCCTCCCTGACCCAGGAGAATCCCACCCCAGTGGAGTGCAGGGACCCTGGTGAGGTTGCCCACACCCCAGGAAGCACCAGTTAGGATCTCAGGGTGCAAAGGGGCTAACTTAAATATTTGTTTCACAAAAGGAATAGAGGAACCAGCTGGATGCTCAGGGAGTTTACATAATTTGGGGAGAAAGGGAGATGGAGCTAGGAACCCCTTAATTTTGGGGGGCAAAGATACCAGGGGGGCACAAAGCAACAATTTATTCCCCCATGAAACACTTTCCATTTTGGGGTGTTAAGCTTTATTGGTTTTTGCAAGCCAGATGGGAGCACCTCTTACCTTTCCTCAGCCAAATCCTGCTCCGTGGCCAGGTCCTTCCACCGGGAGCTGCTCAGAGCCTGTGGGGAGACAAGGGGGTTCCGAAGAGGGGCACGGGTCACACGTGGGTCCCCTCACCAGAGGGGACAGCGGGAGGGCAGGTCGAGGCAGGGCTCACCTGTGTGCTGCCAGGTGCCAGCAGGAGGAGGGCTGTGCCCAGCAGGATGGTCACACTGCGGAGCCCCATGGTCCTCGGGTGGAGAAGAGAGAGATGGCAGAGAGTGGTGGCACAAGCCGTGTGGCCGGTGCTGGCCCACACCATTCCCGTGGCCACAGCTCCTCCCTGACCCAGCACCTCCCGTGCCCACCGGGGCTGGCAGAGACCTACCTGTCCGTGCTGCCTTTTGTCACACCTGCCTCGCACTTTGCCCGCCCCGTGGCAGCCTGGTGGCACAGGGTGGAGCCAGGTCTTGCTGCTGCCCATCCCACGTGAACCTCCCTGATCTGGGTGGATCCAGGTGCTGCTGCCGCCCATCCCAAGTGTCACTCCCGGCCCCAGGTGGATCCAGGTCCCGCTGCTCAGGGGCATGGCACCCCGTGCACCCCTGGGCTCTCCAGGCAGGTCTGTGTCCTCCTGCCAGTGCACGATCTCTGGAGAGATGGGAAATTCAAGTTTTGGCTTGAAATAAGGATTTTTGTCAGGCACTGGCCAGCTGGGAAATACTTTGTTGCCCATGGACTCTGGGAAAAGCTGGTGGCCTAGAAGAGAGACCATCAGTAACTTCAATTTGTTTCCAACAGCAAGGGCAGGCACTCTGGGACCCTGGGCCCTGGGAAAAAGGAATTCCCAGGTCAGAACTCCTGGACCTGAACACAGTAAGGAAGAGCAGGCTGGGCTGCTGCCTGACCTTTGTACCATCACATGCCAAGGCCTGCAGGCATCTCCAGTAGCGTGGGGCCTGCTTCCCTTCCCAGATATCCCAGTGTGGGGGAAGAGCCTCATTCAGGGCTTTAGTGTTGGGAAGTGATTTTTGGTCCCTGCTGAGAGATGTCCCTGGGCGGTTGTGTGGCTGCAGGGTTTGCCTGCTGGAGACAGCACTCCACAGAGCCCACGGAGCAGGGATTAGGGCTGGACAAGCTGGATGAGTTTTAAACAGAGCAAAGCTTTTTAAAACTCACTGGGAAATCTCCTACATCTCCGTAAACATCATTCCCTGCTCCCATTTGCAAGGATTTTTCAAAGCCCCTTTGATCTTTTATTCCTCACAGAGAAGGGGGAAGGGAAAAAAATTGCAATTATAGATCTTAAGCTTCTTGGATAAACATTGTTCCAGAAACCTCTTTTTTTCTCCCTTATGCACAATTTTTGAGTGTCAGGATTCACCAGGAGCCCAAGACCAGTGGCTGTGCTTCCAGCTTTTTTCCAGGAGGATGAGATTACAAAGGAAGGGAAAGGCAAGGGGGAAAACAACCTCCTCCATCCCAACCTGATTTTGGCAGCATCTGCAGCAAAGGGAGGGAGGTTCATTCCACAAGTCTGACTCTGCCTGAGCTTCAAAACAGCACTTATACTCACTATGAAGCAATTTTGTAAAAATTTAAAAATTCCTTTTATTTATTCATCTGGTTGGAAGTCACTTTATTTTAACTCCCTGTGAAAAAGCTTCTCCTGGCCCAGACAGACCTTTCAGAGCAGGTGCCGGGGTGCAGAGGAGACTTCAGTCAGATGGAGGAAGTCAGAACTGAGGACCAACGGGGTTTTTCCCCCCATTTTCTTTTCTCAGTTATTCCAGCTTCCATACAGTCACGTTGTCATCTTGTAACTTCTTGAATCCATTTTTTTTACCTCCAAGAGGGAAAAAATAACCCAATCCTGTGCAGCCTCAGCTGCAGGACAGTTTCCTTAACAGCTCACCACACATTCAGGGTTCACCTTCCTCAAGTCTTGAGGATTCTTAACTCAGTCAGGTGATGCCAGTTCTGTCTGACATCAGGAGCACGTGCCCAAATGCTGGCAGAGCTTTAATTGGTTTGGGTGGTTTATTCCATGGAGCGGGAACTGGAAATATCCCGGGCGGCACTGGCTCCGTGCCTGCTCATCTTGCACAAATCTGCTGCACTGACCTTCAGACTTTTTTCCGTGGTCCTTTAAATCCTCGGGTGGCACCTTGTCCAAAGCAAATTGTGGACGGGATCCTGGAAAGGCAGACAGGCTTTAATCCAAGTGAGGATCCAGCCCTCACAGGCTCACTGGGATGCTTAATGCTCTGTGGGGCATTTTAAGCTCCCAGAGGGGGAAGAGCAAGGTATGGGAGGAGCAGGACATGTAAATCGTCAAATAATTTAAAGAATGGGTGAAATACTGGTTGGATTTCCTGTGCACCCTGCACACTCCTGTCCTGGAGGCCTCTTTACAGCAAGGTGTGTTACCAAATCTAACACCTGGGCAGCTGCAGTGGTTGAGAATAAGGAGCAGGAGAGCAGAAGCAGCATCCTGCAATACCCTGGGAAGAGATCAGGTGGGCAGACAAACACAGCTCCCCCAGCGTACCCACGTCCTGCTCTTCCTGACACCTCCTTTCAAAAATGGCTTTGGAAGCACACGTGGGATTGCTGCCTGGTTTATCCTCAGCACAGGAACACCCCAAGCCGTGCTGCAAAGGGCTGATAAGATGGAGTGGTCCCAGCCCCTTTTGCCCCTGAGGCCAAAGTACAGACCTGGATTTGTAGAGCCGTTTCTCTGGCAGCGGGGGGCCGGGGCTGGCTGCGGGCTGAGAGATCTCCATGTTCTCCTCAGGCCCTGTTTCCATGGGATTCACCTGGAATTGCTCTGCCATCTCCACGCTCACGTCCATGGGCACGCTGGTGCCCTGCTCCATGGGAGAGCTCATGTGCTTGGAGCCACTGCAGGGACAAAATTTTACATCCTGGCTCAGGAGCTGCCACGTGAGCCCAGAGCCAAGGAAATCAAAGGTACTTCATGAGAAAAACGAGTCCATCTGGGATGGATTCCTTCCCAATATCCCATCTATCCCTGCCCTCTGGGAATGGGAAGCCATTCCCCGTTTTCCTGGCACCCCATCCCTTGTAAAGAGTCTCCCTCCATGTTTTCTGCAGCTCCCTCAGGCACTGGAAGGCCACAATGAGGTCACCTCAGAGCTGAACAATCCCAGCTCCCTCACACTTTCCTTGCAGGACAAGAGGAAAGTTCTGCAGTCACCTTTTCACCTTCTTGGGCCTGTCAAAGCGAAAGTCAGCAGGATACAGGTGCACGGTCACCAAGTGATCCTTCCTGTCCTTGCTGCTCTTGAACTTCTCCGTGCAGCCTTCCACCAGACACTGGTACTGAAAGGCAGGGAGGAGAAAGGAAAAAAGACATAACTGGAAAAAAAAACAAGCACACACCAGCCACGAGGCAAGGGCTGGGCATGGCAGCTCACCATATTTTGCTTCTCGGCCATTATCTGGAAGAGGGAGTCGTGCCACTCCAAGATGTGGATGTCCAGGAGATTCCCAGAGGGAAAGGAGCGCTTGCAGAAGGAGCAGACGTTCCTGTGCAGGGTGTTGTAGTGGTGCTCGTAGCTCTCCAGTGTGTCAAACACCTGGCTGCACCCGGAGATGTGGCAGCTGAACTCGGACACCCTGCAGGGAAAGCAGGACTTTAAGCTAAATTAGAGCCTTATTTTCAGCTGCAAACATCCCCTCTAGATGAGTTTATCAGAGAATCCTAGGATGGCTTGGGTTGGATTGTACCACAAAGCTCATCTGATTCCACCCCCTTGCCTTGGTAGGGACACTTTCCACTAGGCCAACACCTGCAGCCACAACACTTGTGGCATTTTTTGTGACTAATCCTTAAAATTAAATGTCAGGTGCAATGGACAAAGATCATGATGGTGCTGGCAGATGGAAACTTATTTGCCATTGGAAACTTATTAACCATTATGGCTTCAGGATCATCTAGATCATGCTCCTGTTAAACAGTGCTTCAGTGAACAACAAACAAGCCGTTAATTAATAAATTAGCCGTCTGAGCTAAGAGTTGCAGTTGTGGATGACAGCCCAGTGCCAGTGATTTTTTAAGAGGTATCCAAAGGTGAACCTCACACAACACTCCAAAGTACTTCCTGGCTTTTAAACACAAGAGCAAGGCCAAGATTCTCCCTCTTGGCCTTCCCCCTTGGAGCTGTGCCAGCTGCAGCAGCCCAGGGAAGCTGTGGCTGTCCCCGGATCCCTGAAGTGCCCAAGGCCAGGCCGGACAGGGCTTGGGGCAGCCTGGCCTAGCCGAAGTGTCCGTGCCCATGGCAGGGGGGAGGAACGAGATGATCCTTAAGGGCCCTTCCAACCCAAACCATTCCTCGATCCCACGAGGGGCGGACTCGGAGCCCGCCCGCAGCTGCGGCGCCGGGACCGCCTCACTTACTTGGGTCTCTCGGGCACCTCCTCGAGGCTGGTGAGGACGCCCTGCAGGTAGAGGTGCCTGTGCACGTCCCCATCCTAGAGAGGAGCAGAGGGGGCGGTGGGCGGGCGGGCAGGGCACAGCGCCAGCCCTTCTGCTCCGCGGCACACCGCGCTGCCGGCGGCCCCCACAGCGCCCCGCGGGGCCGCCTCACCTCGAACAGCGGGTGTTGGGGGCCGAGGCGGAGGCGGCGGGGGGCGAAGGTGAAGGGCGGGGCGGGCCGAGGGGCAGGCGGGGATGGGGGATCCTGCGGGAGCGGGGGGAGCCCCTCACGGAGCACGAGGCCAAGGCGCGGCGGCAGCGGCAGCATCGCGCGGCGGCGGGGGGGCGCAGTGCGCATGCGCGGGGGCGCGCTGCCAAGGTTACCGCGCCGCCCACCGCGCATGCTCGGGGCGCGCTTCCCGGCGCCAGCGGCGGCACTTCCGGGCGGGCAGGTAGGGATGGGATGAAATTAAATTAAATTTAATTAATTAATAGATGGAGCAGGACAGGGTAGGGAGGGTGGGACGGGGCGCAGCAGGACGCGGCTGAGGTGCTGCCCGGGCCCGGCGATGGTGATCCCCCCGCTGGCTGTTGCCGGTGCGGTGCCCGCCTCAGGCCCTGCTGGTGTCCGGCCGGGCCAGCCCAGCTGCCGCAGCTTCTCCTCATTGCCTGCAGCCCAGGGAAATCCCTGCAGGATCAGCCCCAGGCGGTGGGGAAGCTGGGCCTCTAAAGGGATTTGAGCTTAGGCTGCACCGGCGTGTTCTAAATTGAGCCAGTTTTAAGTGGAGAGTTGGACCAAGGCTTGCAGGGATCCCTTCCAGCCTAAGTGATTCCATGATCCTGGCAAAACAAGAGTGTGTTCTTGTGCTTGATACGTGGGTCTGGATTGTATCTGCTTGGTGCAATCTGAGCACATGAAGCTCCTTATTTATTTCCATCATTCCTGACTCGGGGTCTTACTTCTGATTTACAGAATCACAGGATGTTCTGAGTTGGAGGGGACCCACAAGGATCATCAAATCCAGCTCTTCAGTGAATGGCCCATTCCAGGATTGACCCCACAGCCTTGGTGTTTTTAGCACCAGGCTCTGACCTGCTGATCTCATCTCAGGGTTCTGTGTCAGTATTAAAGTTATTCTTTAAGTACTCTGCAGGTTTGAGTGAAGTTAGTAAAGTGGGCAGTGGAATAGGAAGACCCGTAAACTTGGGGAAAACTGCTTTGTGGTGATTTCAGAAGCAGCAGCAGGGGCAACCTGTCAGGACACCAAGCAGTGTTTCCAGCATTCCTTCTGAGATGAAAAAATCCTTTGCTGGCCAACCCTGACTTAGATTCTTCCCCAGGCTTGCTTAGTTTTCCTGGCTGGAGCTGTCTCAGCTGCCAAAGCCCAGAGAAGCTGTGGCTGCCCCTGGATCCCTGGAAGTGTCCAAGGCTGGGCTGGATGGGGCTTGGAGCAGCCTGGGACAGTGGAAGGTGTCCCTGCCCATGGCAGGAGTGGAACAGATGCCTTGAGAAGCTGACCTAGAACAGAGCCCAGACAGAGTTAAAGAATAAAGTAGGGATTTGTTGAAAGGATCTCCTCCATGGATCCACCTTGGGCAGCACAAGAGCCCAGCCAGGGCTGCACCCCAGATGAACCAAAATGGTCACAAAATGGACACCCGGTCACGGGGTCTGTCACTGTGATCAGTTCTGCTCTATTTGCATATTGGAGTTCATTATCCAATTCCAGCTCCAGCCCATGCAGTCCCATCCTGCTTGTTTTTCTCTCTTCAGCCCACGTTGTTTGTGCTCCTGGGCTGAGATTTGGATCATTTGTCCCCAGCTAGAGCAGGAATTGTTTTTGTGCTCTGTGCAGAGAGCTCTCCACCCCCTAATAAGAAGCCCAGACCCACACACTAAAGCAGCACAGAATCTGAAAAATATAAAAGCTAAAACCTGAGACACCAGAATAAGACAGGCTTTGAGTCCCTTCCAACCCAAACCATACAAGGAATACCTGCTTGGTTTCCTTCCTCCTCCTTTGTCCCAACCAAACATGTCCACATTCCAGAAGCACCTTTGTGGCCGGGCTGTGTTTTCCCTGGGATAACCCCCGGTTCCCGTGTCCCCAGGGCCGGTGGCAGGAGCTGGGAGCATGAGCGAGTTCCGCATCCACCACGACGTGAACGAGCTGCTGAGCCTGCTGCGGGTGCACGGCGGCGAGGGCGCCGAGGTCTACATCGAGCTGCTGCAGAAGAACCGCACGCCCTACGTCACCACCAACGTCTCTGCCCACAGTGCCAAGGTCCTGCCCCCTTCTTCTGCCAGTAACAGCTCCTCCTCTTGGCGTCCGTCAAGGGAAAAGGGGGAAAAAGAGGGGCTGGTCGGGTCCGGGGTCGCGGTTCTGGGTGTGAAGTGGGAGGTCTGGGGGGGGAAAGGAGGGATGCTTGAGGGAGAGGAGGAATGTTAGGGCTGGGGTGTGGGAAAATTTAAAGAAGGAGGTTGTTTTGCGGGATGTTGGGAGGGAGTTGTTCCCTGGGAGGGTGCCCAGGGAAGCTGTGGCTGGCCCTGGATCCTTGGAAGTGTCCAAGGTCAGGTTGGACAGGGCTTGGAGCCTCCTGGCATAGTGGAAAGTGTCCCTGCCCATGGAACAAGATCACCTTGAAGCTCCCTTCCCACCCAAACCTTTCCTTGATTCCATGACTGTGGTATTCACATTCTCTGAACAGAGAGAGACATAATTCTCTCTCCCAAGGATTTTTCCTGGGGAAGGCAGTGAGAAGCTCGGAGAAGAAGAGAAAACAATTCTTATGTCTATTCACTGCTGCTGTTGTTGCACATGTGGAATGTGTTATGGAGATTGTTTACTCAAAGTAACCACTTTGGGTGATTAGACACTAGTGAAAGTTGTTCGGATTCCTTGGCCAGTTGGGTCAAAGTTGTGTCCTGACTGTCTCAGACAGTCACAGGTTTTTCTTTAGTATTCTTTAGTATAGTGTTTCTTTAGTATGTAATTTAGTATAGTATTAATGTAATATAGTACAGCTTAATGAAGCAATTGTTCAGCCTTCTGAAATCATGGGGTCAGAGCACATTATTCCCTACACTGGGGTCGCTCTTCTACTGTACATGATGAAATGAAAATTGTATAAAATGCAACTATATGACTAACACCTGACTTTTTTCTTCTGATTATTACCCAAATATTAGAGATTAAAGCCTGGCACTCATGACCAGACTCACATACTTTTATAGCTATATAACTTATGGCTATAAGACTGCTTTTTGTTTTCATTTTTAAAAGTAATCCACCAGTCAAGCTCTAGGTGCTAGGAAGGCTCCAACTCTGGCTGAAACCTGAGCTGCATGTTTGCTCTAATTCCATTTCATTTTAATTGTAACTCCATTTAATGTTAACATGGTGTTTTACAGGTAAAAATAGCAGAGTTTTCTCGAACTCCTGAAGATTTCTTAAAGAAGTACGATGAGCTGAAGTCTAAAAACACAAGACATCTGGATTCTTTAGTTTATCTGCTGTCCAAACTCACCGAAGACAAAGAGGTTGGTTCCTCCTTTAGAACTGGATGTTGAAGAGTAGCAACAATGCATTGATTTCAAGCACAGCTGATGGTAAAGTTCAGTGAAATCTGTAGAAATCAACAAATAACCAGTTCTAGCTTTCACTGAGTTATGAAAGTCCTACTGAGAGTTATGCTCCTCTTGATATAATTCACTAAGACATGGAAAACTGGGACAGAGAAATCTGTGGTGAGATTCAGTACATGGTCATGTGTTTCTTGCTTTAGATTGTGCTGCCCAGCATTCACAAAACCTTTTCTTTGTTTGTCTCTGTACAGACACTCCACTACCTGCAACAAAATGCAAAAGAAAGGGCAGAACTCGCAGCAAACACAGCCACCAGCAGCAGCACGAATTTTTCCATCCCCTCCTCCACTTCCAAGATGTCTCTGCAGGAGCTGGAGGAGCTGCGCAAGCAGCTGGGCACTGTCACGGCCAACTCCAGTGCACAGCAGGTACCTTTGGCTCTTCCTTCCCAAGCTCTGGGCACAAAATCTTCCCTTTTCTTAGTCAGACAATATTAAATCTTGGTGCTGTTCTTTGTAAAAGTGGCCTTTTTCTATTCCAGTCAGTTAAGGTTGCATTCTTTGAGGTTATTCTGAGGTTAAATTCACAGTTAAATTCTTCCCTGTGAGGAACCTGGCACAGGCTGCCCAGAACAGCTGTGGCTGCTCCATCCCTGGAAGAGTCCAATACCAGGGCTTGGAGCAACCTGGCATCAGGGAAAAGAGAGAAAGGAAGAGGAAAACCAGCTGGAGACACAGGCTTAGCAAACAGTTAAACATTTCATTAGCAGCAGTAGGTTGTGAGGTCAGAGTGCAAAAGGGCCGTTTATTACTTAAATCCCAAATTCTGTTTCCTGTCATTATTTGTATAAAAAACTACTGTGGTGGCTTGACCTGCCAAACAGGACAGGGAGGGAAAGAAATATGGTAAAAAACTGATGGGTCAAGATAAGGATGTTTTGGCTGCAGAAGGCAGAGGGGCAGCAGTTTACAGAGAGTTCTTTGGACAGAGGGGAAAGAGGAAAAGATGCTCAGAGGTCCATGGTGCCTTCTCATGTCTGGTCAGCAGAATCTAAAAGGGGACAAGCCTCAGATATCTTCAGGCCCTCAGTGGCAAGTGGGATGGATCTCCCATGCTTTATGTGTCTGGGTTTGAAGGCCTCTACATTAATGTGATGGTGGAGGAGAACTCAAACCCTAAGCAAAAGGTCCAACCCCTCACCCTGTCAGCAGTGGTGAGACCAGCCTTGTCCCACATCCACTGAGATACTGCACAGACACTGGGCCTGACTCATCCAGATCCTTCACAGACAATCTGAGTCAAGTGGGTGATTTAGATCATGAAGGGAAGATGAACTTCCAGTGAGATAACTGATCTTCTTACCAGGATTTATGTGTGAACTTGCTAAAAGAGGAAAGACCTGGAAGTGCCGTTCCCTGGGATGTGCAATTCACAGCCAGAGGAATTGAAGCCAAGATTTGTGCTTCCTGCTGCTCCATTTGCAGTCTCTTCAGACTTGAAGAGCTGCAACTGTGTTAAAAGGCCCTGATGGGCTGGTGCTCAGGCCTGTTAGTCAGTAAGGGCTGGGACAGGAGGACATTCCTTGGAAGTGTTCCTGTGCTCAGCTTGTGACCCATATCTCCTGTCTGTGAGGGTCACAGATGGAGCTGCAGGTGTTTATGGAGCTCAGGGATGAGCCCTTGGTCCCCCTCTGTGGTTGTTGGCACTGCCATTGCTCAAGATGTCAGCTGCAGGTTCCTAAGTATGGCAGTGGCAAGCTGCCACCCTGTGCCAGGGGTGTTGGGGTGCCACCTGAGGGCCGTGTTCTCAGCCCTGGG